ACTTTAAATGAGAATAGTTTCATATTTTTCCACATATTTCACTGGATTGTACTATTCACATCACATCGCCTTCAAATTAAAGCTTGTAATGTTCTCATTCTCATGTAATGTTCATGGTTAATAAAATGTCATTGAAGACTTAAATATCCCTATTGTTAAAATGAAAGGGAAACCACTTTCAGAAGGGCAGGAACTATAATGTACTCTTTGATTTACCACCAAAGATACTTTGCAACAAAACAATGGCATACAATGTGAAGTATTACTTATCGAATTGTACTTTCCCAGTGCATTCATAATGATTTATTCATACTAATTCCAAGACTATTCTTAAATGCATTCTTCTGCCGTATTTAAAACAGAAATATCAATAGAAATCGAAAGATCTCACCTTTCAGGCTTTCCCCACAAGGCAAACAACCTGTCCTCGCCCTAAATAATTATCAACAGAAGCTGTAAAACTGCTGTTAATTAGATTTTACAATATCAGCCTCAAACCAAGGTTCCACATCATGAACACACAGAGCCTTTCTCTACAAAATATCCAATCTGTCTTTCCTTTATGTCCATAATTTCTATAAAAAAATGAAATCACCCTCCAAGCGATTGTAAACCAGCATCCTCTTAAAAAGCAGGGTTTTTCAAAAAAAAAGAAAATCCATTGTCAGAATGTAATGTAGCTGTCCTTCAATGTAAACAGTCCAAAAAGAGCATGAGAAATATAGAGTGGCGCTGTAGGTAGTGCTGTCGCCTCAAAGAAAGAAGGTCGCTGGTTCGAACCTCGACTCAGATAGCCTTTCTGCATGTTCTCCCTGCGTTCGCATGGGTTTCCTCTAGAAGCTTCGGTTTCCCCCACTGTCCAAAGACATGCGGTACAGGTGAATTAGGTAGGCTAAACTGTCTGTAGTGTGTGTTTGTGTGTGTGTGTGCAACCCCTGAGATGGGTTGCGGCTCGAAGGGCATCCGTTGTGTAAAAATGTGCTGGATAAGTTGGCGATTCATTCCGCTGTGGCAACCCTGGATTAACAAAGGGACTAAGAAGACAAGAAAATAAATGAATGAATGAAATCATAACTCTAAAAAGGGTCTATTCTAACATGAAATGCACGTTCTTTTTCATAAAATGTCAATGATTTGTGACCTTACATGCATTGAAACCTGTTGTAGGGGATTCTAACACAATATTTAGGACACTTGCACTTTAAGTACTCCTTCATGAACTTAATAAATTCCAAAAAAAGCTTGTAGTTTTCTCATAGAGCAGTAATTTGCTTAGTTTCAAATCTTTTCAGCAAGGCTGATCCCTCAAATTCAATACAGTTTCAAAACCACACCTGCACCTTCTCCTCTGGAAGTCCCCACACTCTCCATATGGCTTTATATACATCTATGCTGATGTGGCAAGTTTTCAAGTAGTTTGTAAATTCATTCATCAAAGTCTAGAAGGAACACTTTAGCTTCAGCTTCTCACCCTAGAGTACAGTCCATTGGGAAACATGAACAAGAAGCATGTGAAAAAGCCCCGTAGACTTTGCTTTCTGTCCAAAACAAGGGCTTTAGGCTTGATGGTGGGGAAGTGTGGTGCCAAACAGAGGCTCAGTGACCTGCCGCTGCGTCTGTGTTTATGAAGGACACCGACGGGCTCAGTGGGATTGAGTGTGTGAATGGCTCTGTCGTTCTGTCTTCCCCTCTGGGCCTATGGTTGATGTCAGGGAACAGGATGTTAGCACAGGCTCCATTCAGTTGCTGATCTGATGCTAGTTTATCACTGAAGGGGTTCAGGCTGTAACTAAAAGCTTACATTTCTTGACTGTTTGTACTGTTAAGGTGAATATATGTTTTTTTACTGCCATTTTATGATGTGCTTAACAGTATGAGTGTATGAAACTTGGTGATTTATGACAAATGACATGACATTGGTATTAAAATGTTGAGGTGTTTTAGGAGGACCTGCCATGTATACTCGTAAATATTATCAGATAAGAAGTCACATACAGGGTTTTTCAACACTCAGAATTTGGGTTTTGGGGTTCTGAGTGGTTGCTAGACAGTTGCTAACATAAATTAACAAGATTCTAGTATGAATTAGCATGTTGCTAACATGTTTCTAGCATAAATTAACATATTGTTAGCATGGTTCTAGAATGAATTAGCATATTGATAGCATGTTGCTAGTATAAACTAGCATGTTATTAGCATGAAGTTAGTATGAATGAGAATGTCCTTAGTATGTATCTAGTATGGATTAGTATATTGTTAGTGTGTCCAATGCAAAGTCAATGGCAGTTTTTTACAATCTAGTGTATGGGACAGTTGCTAGAGTGCTGTAAGTGGTTGCTAGGGTGTGGCTATTAAGCTGAAAGATCATCAGTGATTGGCAGATTTTTAGTGTCAATTAAATGAGCCCAACTTTAAGTTTTCGGAAAACCGTAAGTCGGATCAGTTGGAAAAGATATAGGGACTTAATTCAGTATAGCTTGGAGGTTTGGAGTTAGTTTGGTGGTTGTAGTATGAACAGTCTAGGAGGAGATGGGTTCTTAAAATAGTTTCAGATTTAAGAAGACAGAAGAAGAACAATATAATTATGTAGTATAACAGTATGTTGGATTTCTTAAGCCACCATAATGATTACAATTAAATTCATTAAGCAATGAGATGCAGTTTAGGTCTCACCAGGAGTGCAATAGCAGCAAGTGCAGGACACAGGTATAAGTTATAAAGTGCAGCTCTGGAGAAACTATGGTGATGTGTACACACTAGTTAACTCAAAATTAACTGAGAGTTAATTCTACTCATTTGAAAAGTGTTGAACTCAGTGTTGAAGGTAATGAGTTTATTAAATACCTCATTCCTTCAACTTAAATGGAGCAAGTTCACAGCACTCATATAGATTAGTTTTTTAACTCAAATGGTTTGTAGCAATCAGTTTCCTCAAACGGTTTGAGTTGCTTAAGCGTATTGAATTTTACAGTACTCAGTTGGTTTGAGTTCTCTTTATTTATTAGGTTTACTGTGCTAAACTTGCTTTGTTTAAATCAATTGGATTAAGCTTACAGTACTCATTAGGATTAGTTTTTGAATTTAAATGGTTTGTTGCCATTGGTTTCCTCAAATGGTTTGAGTTACCTAAACATTTTGGGTTTTGCAGTGCAGATGGATGTACTATAAACATTTGTATTAAATATGAACAGTTATTTACAATAGATGAACACAGGTTGCTATTAATAATCAGAGGTATGCAGATAGAACATAATTACAAATGTGTATGTACAGTGCATATGCACAATTCAAGTTGAATTAGTGCAACAAAGTGAAATGAATATGTACAATTTAAATTAAATAGTGCAGGTTAATTCATGCAAGATATTGCCAAATTTTAACAAACTTTTTTAGATTTTTAATTTTCTTAATTTCTAATGTCTTTGTTTAGTTTTTTTTTTTATTCAGTATTTTTCCTAACATATAAATTTGTTAGATTAGCTAAAAACCCACCAATAACACTAATATTTTGAATATCCATTATTATAATAATGTTGTGAAGCTGAAATTAATTTGTCTTTGCTCATTAATATTTGATTCTTTAAAAATGGACATTTATTGTTACTTGAAAAAGTTCCATTTACTTTTTAGAGAAAATCTGTTGTTTGTACTGTTTTAAATGAATAATAATATTTAATTAAATATGTTTGGCATGTTTTAAAATAATAGGCTGAAGTCAAAATCACACTTTTTAGCTGCAACTGTAAGAAAAAATAATGACTTGGTCCTTTTTATATCCTAATAATTCAATAAATCCTAGGAGACACGAGTCATGAAATCATAAATCCAATATTTCAAAACAATAATTTGAATATAGGTTTTATTTAGGTCTAGATCAGGGGTGCCCACACTTTTGCAGGATGCGAGCTACTTATAAAATGACCAAGTCAAAATGATCTACCTAATAACATATATTTATTTATAAACAAATTGGAGATTCTGTATTTGTACAGTATTTATTAATGTACCTTGCATTATTGTGTGAACCCATATTGTGCAATAGCCTACAACTCTTTACATATTTTTGTCATTACCATACTTTGATGACTTGCACTGCATGGAGTCAGCTAAGAAAGCATAGGCCAGACAGTAGCTGCTGATAACCAGCCTCAAGCACACTACCAAATGATCATCAGTCATGGTGAAACAATATTTGGACTTAACTGCGCTAACTTCGTTAAACTTAAAAGGTCAGATATTAAACTGGCTCCCCTGTATGTCAACCAAGCGACAAATTTCAGTGAGGATGGATGATAGGCTGACGTCTGTTTTTATGCCATGCGATCTACCCAGGCTACCTTTGCGATCCACCGGTAGATCACGATTGACATATTGGATACCCCTGGTCTTGATAATATTTTCAACACAAACTACATTAAATTATATCTCTTATCATTATCCACTCTTTAAGGGTAAACATAATCTTTAAACAGCTTAAGCTTGGTCAAATTTGATAAAAGTTATTTTTTTTTATTTTTATGAACATTTAATATAACTAAAATGAATACAAATATAAATACTTTAATTCAGCTAGAATGGATTTAATCGATCAATAACAGTAAAAAGTTAGGAAATAATATGCATATACTACATAATAAATACATTTAAATTAATTGATTCGATTTTATAATAAACATAAGAACAGTTCTTTTAGATTTTAGAGAAATGTCTGAAGCAAATAAAGCAGTAGTCTAGGCTAAGAAAACACAATGTTTTCTGCTACCGATGTCAAAGTCACTGGTGAATATCTGACACTGATGTATGTGTGTGTATAAAGTGTAAGTTTAAGTTAAAAAAGCTTCCCGTCAACAAAGTGACTAACAGCGAATCTAATGCGTTTGCCCGCGAGGCGACAGGAACACAGGATTGTGTTGTGCAGGATTATGGCATTGGCAGTGATAAGAGCGCTGCATCACTGTCACGGCTCATCCTGACAACACTGTCTCCTCTTTCCTCTCCAGGATTCAAGTGTCCCGTCTGCTCCAAATCAGTGGCATCCAATGAGATGGAGGTTCACTTCATCATGTGTCTGAGCAAGCCCCGCCTCTCATACAACGGTAAGACACCTTTAAAAAGTGGTCAACTGGATATCGAATTTTGTGAATCAAATATTTGTTTTTGAATATTAAGCATTCTAGCTGTTTTCTAAGTGTGGGATGAAAGCATATCGGAGGCTGGATAATACAAGAGGTTAAATAATTACTGTCATGATTTTTCCTGGTAAATATATTTAAAAAGGTGTAATAACAATTAGAAATGCTTAAAAGTATTTATACACAGTTAAAAACAGAAATATTAGATTCCCTGAATTATTAGCCCCCCTGTTTTTTTCCCCAATTTCTGTTTAACGGAGAGAAGATTTTTCCAACACATTTCTAATCATAATAGTTTTAATAACTCATTTTTAATAACAGATTTAGTTTATCTTTGCCATGATGACAGTGACTAATAAGTGACATTTAAAGGCTCAACTAGGTTAATTAGGTTAACTAGGCAGGTTAGGGTAATTAGACAAGTTATTGTACAATGATGGTTTGTTCAGTAGACTATCTAAAAAAAGTATAGCTTAAAGAGGCTAATAATTTTTTCCTTAAAATAGTGTTTCAAAAATTAAAAGCTGCTTTCATTTTAGTAAAAAAAAAAAAAACTTAGACTTTCTCCAGAAGAAAAATATTGTTAGACATACTATGAAAAAGTCCTCGCTCTGTCAAACATCATTTAGGAAATATTTAAAACAGAAAAAAAAAAATCAATGGGGGGCTAATAATTCTGACTTCTACTGTATATATATTTATAATGTATATTTATAATGTATATAAAGTAAGTAATTTTTGTTAATGACAGTTTTATGATTCCATGCAATGCTCAGGTGTAATTTTGTTTCCCAGAATTTAACATTCTAAAAATGTTGACGGTTCCTTTGGTTCTCGTCTATCAATCCTGACCATTGGCTGGGCCATTCTAGCAGCTTTATTTTCTTTTCTGAAACCAGTCAAGAGTTTCCTTTGCTGGTTTTGGGACAATTGAAACATTGTGATTACATAGCCCCGTACACATTTCTGGAGAGCATAAATTATGTAGCCAGAGTTACATATGGCTTCATTTCATCTTTAAAACCAACGTTTATCCAATGTCAGTATGATGTTGACGGCTTTTGTTTCTTTACATGCTACCAGCTGACTGTTTACCTCAGTGTGGATGGCTTTTCCGTTGTTTGCCCAGTGGCATGCCGCTTACGTCGGCGGACTTGAGACACAGAGCGGAACTGTCTGCGTCTGTCACATCTGATGTGTAGTGCAAGGAATGAAGCAAATGTGAGAATCCCAATGCAGTCTTGCAGGTTTATTGAACTCAAATTAAATCAAAACAAAACACAGATAGGGTGAACACTGAGACATCCTAGAAGTAATGTAAACGACTGACGACAAATGTCTTAACAAAAGGGATATATATATATATATATATATATATATATATATATATATATATATATATATATATATATATAGTGCAAACAATTAGGTTAAACAATATGATGAAGGGGTGGAGACAATAACCGTGGTAATTAACAAGAGAAAACTCAAATGACTGAGCGTGACAAATGAAAACATAGAACTTAACAAAACACCAACAAAACATGGACTGTTACAACGACGATGGGGTGTTTAAGTCCGGAGAAGAAAGGTTGCAGAAAGCAGGTAAAACAAAAACTAAGGGCAAAAAATTAAATAAATACCTACATAACAGAATGAGAATGTGGTAAGATCAGAAAATGTGGTAAAAATCAGGCTGCCACGAGGGCTTTTCTTTTTCTGGATTGCTTTTGAAAACACTGTCGGTTGGGTTTAGGGAGGTAGGTGGGCACTGGTTAATTGGTGCTTTGGAAAGCACTAACGGATGGGTTTAGGGAAGAATGAGGGTGGGTCAGTCGATCGGTCATAGTCAGTCAGACAGCGGCCTCTGGTCCGTCCCTCTCTTAGGGTGCTTTCACACCTGTGAATTGATTCAGTTGTTCCGAAACAGAGATTACAATTGTTACATTGTTGCTCTTTGCTCTTTGAGTGGTTTGCTTTCACACTGCAAAGTTTCTAATCGGACCAAAAGAGCTAAAACAAGTCACGTGCGAGTAAACTTTCCTCACATTGGTCAGAGTGTCAGGGTTTATTTTGCAGCGTCCTGCTAAGCTGTCAGGAGAGGTGGTGGTTTGATGGTGATTGACAGGGTGCGCGTGTGCGATGTGTCTGAGGAGAGATGCGGTGGGGAGGGGTGAGAAGGGTGCGCGATGTAGCCTATTTGAGGACCGGGAGGGAGACGCGAGATTACCGGGATATCATCACTCGTTTGCGGGCATCCGGAGACTCGCGAAACTTCCCGCCATAATCATAATTCTCTTTTCATATAGCCGTATGCCTATTACATATCCATAAAACACTGTGATATAACCACGCTCGGATCGGATCGCTTTCTCACTGTAATCAAACTGCTCCAGGGTTCATTTCAATCGAGCCGAGACCACCTCATTTAAGCGATCTCGAAACGATTACTTTGGCGTGGAACAGAGCGCGATTGCCCTGTTCACATATGCCAAACGAACCGCGCTAACTGGGCAATCGAGACACGTTCCGAAACAAAAGTGTAGGTGTGAAAGCACCCTAAGTCTTTTGCTTAGGAACACCAAGGTCGTCATCATCACTGTATATGATGTTTGCCACATGTTTTTGCTTCTCAGTTTTCTTTCTTCAATCACTCTAGTTTTTAAAGTTGGCAGTTATTCATTCATTCATTTTCTTTTCAGCTTAGTCCCGTTATGAATCAGGGGTCGCCACAGCGGAATGAACCGCCAAATGTTGGCAGCTATTTTTGAAAAATATGTTATAGATATTACTGCTTGTATTGTCTTAAAGATAATACCGAATTTGTTTCAAATGTTAGTTGTGTAATATGAATGATATCAGAGTTAAACTGAACATTTAGTTGGAAATAAATAGGGTTTTTTTTCCTTTGGGTTCTTATTGAGTCCTTTCATCAGTCATGTCAAAGTTAAATGTGATTAAATATTCATATTATTTTTCACATGGTTACATCAGATAAGAGGTTGCTTTTAAGGCAGAGGTTTTTTTATTATGTGTGGAGTCAACTTTGATTACATTTTCTACATCTTTTATGTATTAAATTACAACAAATGTGTGTGCATTAAAAGTACTCTTTAAAGGACACAAAAAATATATTGAAGTGGACTTATTATGCAAAAAATCACTTTTATAAGATGTTTAAACCCAATGGTATAGCAGCGGTCTGTGTATATAACCAGCTTCAAATGGTAAAAATGTAGTAATTGTATTTTTTATAATCCCACTTCATAAAAACAGGCTGCAGAAACACTTTGACATTTTCCCGTTGTATGTGTCATCAGAGGGAGAAAGGCCACGCCCATTGGTGACGATCTCTCCCTCATTAGCATAGGACATTAGTAATTTTTTTTATCCGCTGCTATGCTGACACATAGGCATTTAGCTCCGCCCTCTTTTGAAAAGAGCACAATCTCATTTGAATTTAAAGCAAAAGTCACCAAAATGGCACAATTAGAATTAAAGCCTGCACTTGAGTGGTTTCATAAAGCTATAAAACCTTATTTGCGTGATATTTTGAGCTGAAACCTCACACACACTCTAGGGACATCACAGGCTTACTTTACATCTTGTAAAAAGGAGGATAGGCCCCCTTTAATACAAAAAAAATTACTTTAAATAAAGTATTTAAAATGTTAAAGTATTTAAATAATACAGATAAAAACTTTTATGTATTGTAATGTAAACCTGTTTTCTATAATTAATTTTCATGATTATATTTTTTTGTCTTACTCCTGAATCTTATTTAAACTAACCCTTTTTAAAAAAATGTATTATTATATCATATTTACTTTACTATAATATGAATCACGACGTGACCTGAGAGCTCTTTCTTGGATCGGCTGGTCAAGTGCACACACGTCCTAGCTGTAGTGACCCGATGACATGCTACTTCTCTGCTGGTAACAGCTGTGTTGGGTTGGATGGACGTCTGACTGACAGAAACCTGACTGAGAGACAGCTGTCCAACCCAGCCGGAGCTAAAGGTGACCCGCAGTCACCAAAACATTCAGAAGCTCTCCATATACAGTACAGTCTGCCTCCTGATTAAACCTTGTGTCACTTGTCAGCAATCCGTTAAACCAAGTGAACAACTATTAAAAAGTAAATGAATGTTACGTTTAGGGCTGGGCAATATTGCAAAAAAAAGATCCTGATATAACTTTTTATATCATTCAGTATCGATAGTTATTAAATATTTTTTAACAATACATTTAGAAATATTAGGATTTTAATAAAGGAACCGGCTATCATTATTCAAATACATACTGCAACACAACAAATTGTGAGACTGAATGACTACATTCCCCCTATGCTAAAAAAATCTTTCAGATGGGGAGCTAGTGGCTGGGATTCACAAGAAAAGAAACGAAAAAGCCACATTGGCGACATCCTTAAATTTTTTTATTTAAAATCTCCTGGCTGCTGCTAGTCACTGCACTCAATTTCGCGCATGTTGTTATTCTGACCTGAAGTGACAAGTGCATTTCCATTGTGCTCTGCGCTCACGCTCCCCTGCTGTCTTTCTGTAACTAGGGGACCATCAACTTTTTTCTCAGAGGACGACAAACGGACAAACCATTGCTGCAGCTCTGATACAAGTTTATGGAGAAAAGTAAAAAGCACTGCAGTGTTTGGATGTACTGTGTTTGTCTCAGGTCATTAGTCTGCCGTTATTACTGAAATGTGTATATTCCATACAAAGTGTGCAGCAGATTGGTTTGTTCTACTTACATACATTCGTTATTTGGAAATTTAAGATGTTTTCATCTCAACACCTGGAAAATGCACACGTGTTACAAGTGCGACACTAGCACAACATGTGTACATCGCTCCCATATGCATGTCGTGCAAGTCACGCGCCTCCATTGGAAATGACAAACTTAAACCCTAAGCTTATTGTGGCTCAGCAGCCACATATTAATAAA